TCCACAGAGGTGTGTAGAAACTCTTGGACGGCCGCCTCCTCTCCGGCAGCTTCAGGTGCTTGAGCCCCTGAGCTCAGTGTATCACAGGCTGTGCGGAGCTGCCAATTCTGGCTGAAGTGGCCACATCAACCCATACACGGCCGTATTAGACAAACTGTATGCAAGCAAAAGTCTTCGACAGTTGCCTATAACGTTTATCTATAGGTTTGTTTTGACTCGGTTGTGCGAACATTGTGTTGCAGCAAGGTGCGTTGCAACTCATATCAGGCAATCCACTTTCCCACAGCTCCACGCGTTTGATCTGTTGAGCTCGTGACATCTGGAGACTGGGGGAGGGGGTCAGCAGATTTTAGGCACTCCCATCGCAATTAGTTTGACTGCTTTACAGCTTACAGAACTCCACTGATAAGATTCAGGATCCCGCGTTGTACTACGTAACATCGTATGGTTCCCGGTTCCCGGTTTGAACTACATATATATATACTTCATCGAGTTGAATCCACACGAAATTTTTCTTAATAAAATGAAAATTCATAGAGAAGGCCTCCGCCCTTGCCTGCCACCCAGATATGACGGTGGGCGCGATGACTTAGCACTGGAGGAGTTTATCACTTCTGTAGAGCTATGGTTTCGTCTCAGCACAAGCACCAGGAAAATCACTGCTGCCACTGGTATCTTCTTTATTAGAAGGGTAAGGCGACAATGGTGGTTTTATATAAGCAAGGTCACTGTGTTCCCTGAGCCCATCTGGACTACGGAAGCATTTTTGCAGGCGATGCGATCTGTGTCCATTCTTCGGTTGGCACTCGAACAGGCTATAGTAGAGTTGAGGAAACTAGAGCAAGGAAAGCTATCGATAGAGCGTTGTACGCAAAAGTACGAATCTTTGCTTAACAGAGGTCCAATGGTGGACTCAGAACTGCTGTACCACTGGCTTGTTGCGGGGCATCCTTCGAATGCACCAGGAAGAAGCAGGAAGCATCGGCTGCCGGTTGGTTTGTAGACTAGGAACTGATAGGTGAAATGGTCGACAACGATGGAATACATGGGCATCAAGGACATGGCAAACGCCACATCTACCGGATTCACGGAGCAGGGCATTTGCATCCCCTACGTTTAGACGTCTGACAGCAGTGTCCCAAGGCGACAGTAGCGAAGACGCCAATGGTTAGAGTAGAAGCGCTTAGCGAACAGGCAGAGAAAATGGCGCATCCAGAGCATGCCTCCATTGGTGGTGCTTCCCAAAAACGTGCTTTCCCTGTTCTGTAGATCATTCGATGCGTCATCAATCGAATTGTGTGACTTCACTGCAAACAAAAAATTACAGGCCCCGGAGTACATCCTTCTGCCTTCTGTGTGCCGGATTTCCGGGCTGTTATCTGTCCTCCTTTAGTAGCTTGGCGTGAGAGTGGCTGGCAATGGCAGACCCCATCTACTTGGGTGTCCCATGTAAACCACTTCCCAATCCCTTGTCTCCTTTTTCAGCTAGGGAAGCGACCAGAAACCCAGCGGTCGGCGAGGAAGCTCAGTATGGCTGGATATGTGGGAAATATTTTAGGGGGAGAACATGAAATTTCGTCAGTTCCCACCGGGACTTTGCTAAGGACACCCCCGTCTGTTGGGCTGCGGAATGCAGAGCGTGCCTCTCCTCAAAACCACTCTAAGCTATAAAGAGTAAAGAGAGACTTCACACTTACCCGAGAACACTCGGGCATAACAGTTTTCCAAAATGCAGTTGGCCTCCTTGCTACTCCCCAAGAGCTCTAGGTTCACGGAAGCTGGGTCGAGAGGCCCCTGGGGCGAGGAGGTACCCTTCGTGCGTTGCCCTACTGCATGGTGCGGCTCGAGCAAAACAGTGGTCCTCAGGTGCACCCACAAGTTTGCCCTCTCCAACCTTACACTCGCACGGTTGACAATTGTTAAGCGCTTACTTGGCTCCCACTTTTTAAAATGAGTGTACAACTCGATTCTTCCACGGCAATCCGCAAAAGCTCTGCTGCAACCGCCCTGCTGGAGCTGCTGCGACTGCCGTGATAGTGGCTTTGCAAACTCACTCCACAGAGGAAACTAACTAGGCTAGCTCATAGCTCCGCAACGTCCATGATGGTTTAAGGCAATGCTGATCGGTTCTCTGAGAAAGTGGATTCTCTTTTAAAGTTCCCCATAAACACGGTTGTACTGGTTCTGGTTGCATTCTGCAAGTACTAGTTCTTACTCGAATATCAAATGTTGCTTTGTTGCGCTAACCAAAACTAAATTGGCGGCATTTGTGGATGCCTAGGCCTTGTTTTGGGGTAAGCTAGATGCCAACTCTAGAGCATATCTCCAGCTGCAACCCATTTAATTCAATTCAGCAGTGCTTAATTTTAGGGGAGTATATGCAGCAAGAGCTGTAGCTCCTCTGTTGTTTGTTGATGCTGAGGCGGTCCACACGTGGACTCCAAAGTCGGCATATGGCTGGATGCAACCCGACTTCTGTTACTTTCGATATTGACTTTCACGTCAACACCAGACCATATTATTCGACTCGGGCGCCACCCTAGCAGTTAACTTTGGGAAAAGCGTCTAGCGTTTCCGCCGTCTTCGCAGTATACGAAAATTTATGAATACGCGCCCCATCAATGGGCATAGGGATGTTCACATCAACCCTCACGCGTATTGGACCACAGTACGCAGTGCAGTAATCGTTCTATCGCTTCCGTTTGGTTAGTCGTGTTTCTTACGAGACCTCAGTCAGGGGACAAACTCTTTGCGTGGGGGAGCGGGGGGATCGCGGACGGCGGCGACCTCTTCAAGACTAGCAAGGGAAGCACATGTGGCTTCGACCAATCCTGCAGCAGTGCCCAAGTGGTGAAATTCAGAAGCTCAAAACAGGTGCGAGCTGATGGAACGCTCTTCAAATATGGATATGACGGGAGTATGCCGCGTGGATAGAAGATATTTATACGTCTAAGCAATTACAGCAAGCATATTTCTCTGTGGAAGCAGCAAGCACTGCGCTATCTACGTATTTGTACATTTCAGGTACTGGCGAAGGTCATTGTGCTGCTGATACGCGCGGAACACTCTAAAACACAGGACTGTTAGAGAGGGGGCCCAAAGAGGGCTACAGGTTTTCTGCGTGCTGCAGCGCTGGAGAAACCATTCGTGCAGAGATGTACCGTCGGTAAACTCTGAAATGCCAGTGTCGAGTGGCGGTTGCTGCAGCTGTCGTCGGCAGGTGAGAGACGGCTTACGGCCAAGAGAGGCACTGCGGGAGTAAGGGAGACCATCCTGAAAGGCGTCTACGCCAGTTGTCATCTGCTGCAGGTCGACATGGCTGCATGGGCAATAAGCATGGGCTTTTTTTCTTTTATGATATGCAACTTATTTGTTACCATGCACAGGGCAGCAAAAGGCTGAAAAGCGACTTCAAACGATTAACCCGTTGCAGCGGACTTGAAGTATCTTCTGCAGTAGCCCAGTATTTGCTGCAGTTACTTCATTCTTACGTGGATTTGGAAGTATTGGAGGTTTTATTGCGTATGCCCCACAAACGCTCATGAGCAGCTTCCCGTTTTTGCGCAATGATGTCACTTGCTCTTAACAAGGGCTGCAGCGCCTCCTGAAATGTCCCTGAGACATAATAAAAATGCTCTGGGAGTACGAAGACAGCCCGATAGTATTTGGATCCTTTTATTTTTGTCTTTTATTCCTGGTGTCCATTTAACGGGCTCCACACCAACTGCGGGATGGTAAGGAGCCATGGCTTCCCCCAACTGGTTTCTTGGAGAAACCTCCTTACCACAGCTTTCAGAAGCTGTACAAGCAAACCTTGCTTGGAAACTACTGTGCGGTATTCTGTAGCGCTTCAGTGTACTAGAACGTTTTACACAAGCATTCATTATCACTGTACAACGTCGAACCCCATGCAGTAAGCCTCCATGTAAGTGGCCTGTGCTGTGTTTTGGTATGAATTTATTACACCAGCACGCGAAGGCTACTAAATTGTTACAAACAGCAATTTAATCCCTTCATCCATACTTTCAACATATAAGTATCTTAGGCAAGAAATTAACCAAAAACAGAATATCTTGGCAACCCATGAAAATTAGGCGAAGCCTCGATGTTTAGCTCGATCACAGTGCACCACTGTTACCCATTCTTCTGGGTTTCCCAGACCACTCCGATAGACCATCAATCACACGTTTGTGTATAGCATATAGATCACGCGCATGCATATACTCACTAAATACGACAAAATTAGTGGGCTGTAATGCCAATACTGGTGAACTGTATGCAGATACTTGCGCGTGGTTTATTCATAGCTGTACGTACCCACATGCACATATTTGCACACACATGTGTATATACGTACACCTATCTGAACTGCCTTACCTTCTGGTTGTTTGAGACCATGGTGACTGTGGATCCTGAAGAAGGGGGCCCCTGCTACCTCCATGAGGGCTTTGGAGCTGGTCATGCTGCTACAGAGAAGACCTCTGACGCGTCTCTGTGAAACTACCGGCCGATGGTTTTGACCATATGGCAGTTGCACCCTTGAACTCCCCGTTACAGAACAACGGCCGCTGGGGAAACGGTGTACGTGAAGATGGCCCGACAAGTGCTGCATACGCAGCAGCTCTAGGCGGCTCGTCTCCACTTCTCGTATGAGCGATTTAATGATCTCTTGTTGTTCCTGTTGCTGTCTCTCCGCCTGCTCGCCTCCAAACACATCGTACACTATTTACCCTTGAAATGCGATTTGTATTTCCCTGCCGGTATCCCCGTCTGTAACTTTCAGTTATTTCGTGTCTGCCGCCCTGCCACATTCTGTCTATTGTCAGTACCTTGTATTTGGGAACTCAGCCACAAACGGTTGCACTGAAGCTTGAGCGTCTCTGTTTGGTGTGCTGTTATAATGGTCTATGCACTAGTAACACCACAGCTGTATCTCCACTGTTGTGGAACTGCATCAAACTTTCTGGTAGCGTCATTCCAGCCTGTTTGATCTCCGCGCTTTATTTTATGCAGTGTGGTCTCCCTATTGCTCTGCATGTGGGGTTGAATGTGAGGCGGCGAGTGCAGATCATGCGTACGTCTTTGGCCTGGAGGTGGAGTTTGTGAACAGCCTCTTTGGCTTGAAGACTTTCTTGCTGCAGGATCTTGGCATCTCGAGCCTCAGCAGCCGCCGCCTCTGCTTGTGCTGCAGCAGCGGCAGCGCGGCTTTCGAATGCCAATCGCTGCACCTCCATATCTTCAAAACATCGCCGCAGCTCCCGCCTTTTCTCCTCCAAAGCCAAAGCCGTCTCCGTCAGTTCTTGTCTACACCCGCAGCAAAATCCACAGATAACAAACATGACGCGCAAGAGTTGATCAAGTGCCAGCCTACATGAAAACAACGCACACAGCGTATGCCGGCAGCGCAGGCCCAACAGCAAAACCCACATCCACAAATCAGACAACACATGGCGCGCAACACACAGTAAACACTGCCGGGCAAATGCGACACGACAAATAGCATTATGTACACGATACACATCATATAACAACCGGAATGGAGGAGTGATGCGAGACTCATTTGAGGCTATGGCGTTGAACAACATGCCGTTATTGCAAAGGCATTCTGCGTACTGGGTGAGTGCAAAGACGTGTTAATAGCTGCAGCGTGCTCAGCGGCAACAGCATTACAGACTGTGCAAGCCGACAGGTGTGTGTGGGCAGCCACTACTGTAAGTCTGTGCATTAAGAACTTTGCCAGATCACGTTTTTAGGTATGGCTACAACTACAGCCACACCCATGTACAGGTGTAGAAGATTGTGGCATTTGTGTCTGTGTTTACCACTTCTCATGTTCCTCTGCATCGCTTCGCAGTTTCAGGGCCTCTTGTGCTTTCATGCTTGTGGATATTGTGAGGCATAAAACTGCGGTTTTACAGCACCAATCGTGAATATTGCTCAGTGCGTGCCTCCCTGTGTTAATTCACGTGAAATTCACTGTTCCCAAGCGAGCAACGCATTTACGCCTGCTCGACTTTATAGGCGTGGATATGTTTGCGCTTCGTGAATCGGCTAGATATATGTGTATTTGTGGGAGTGGGATTCAGTTGCGTCTTTGCTCTATTTGGTGTCTGCTCTATTTGGCTTTGTTTGCGTCTGCAGGAATGTGTGTCGATCTGTTTGTAGCCTCGCCTCTCCTGCTGTAGAGCGTTCTGCAACTTCAACAAGTGGGATTCAGCTGCATGCAGATAGTCGCGCCGGGCTTTTTGTTGCTTTTCTTGGATGGCAACAGCGCCTGCCAGGCGGCTTTCTCTCCTTTCGATATCTCGTTCCTTCTGGTACGCATAAAACGCAACATAAGGAGATCTTTTAGTTCGCAATACAGCAACGGGTACGGCTTAGATAGGAATTTGTTTTGTATGGTCGTCCCCTCATCTGCCTGCCAGCGTGCTTATTTGACTGGTTAGTTCTACTGCGGAGGCGCTGAAGCCCAGGTTAGGGATTGGTCGTGCCTGGTCAAGCTCTAGTTGTTTTGTGGCCACTTCACTTTCCGCCTGCAGCTGCCTTTGTGCAAAGGCGTGCTGCTGTTGCTCAATGAACTGTTGCTGCTGCTGGAGTTGCTGCTGTTGTTGTTGCTGGAGCATCTGCTGCTGTTGCCGGCTTTCCAAGAGCGAACGGTGCAAGCTTTGCAGCTGCAGCGACTCTGCTGCCAGCCTGAAGCGCAGCACAGTTGAACGCCCTATCATTCCTGCTGCACTTCATAGCGAGTGGCTTCTCTTAGGAAGGCAATTGTACGTATGTATATACATATGCATATATATGTATACATGTTTACGTACTTATTCGTGAATATATTAATACACACGCACGAGAGAGTTGTAGGATGTGAAGCAAGATCACTACTCCTGTAATGGGAAGGTTTTTGTCTCTTCTCGAATTGTTGCATTGAGGCTTGCTGGAAACAATACAGTTCAGTCTCAGGAATTATGATATCGAAGCCCTACTTTGCAGAAGCTACCCTCGTGCGCTGCTCCGTCTCATCCCTAAGCTTAGCTGTCTCTTGAGCCAGTAGCGCCAGCGCCTGCTGCTGCTGCTGCAGAGTCTGCTGCTGCTGCTGCAACGCTGCCACTGCGCCTTCCATCTCTGCTTGCCGCCCACATGACTACGCTCGCAGTTAACATTCATGAGCAGCACAGCAGCGGCAACAGAGAAATCGGACGCTTAATTCTTTAGTTCTCTTGCATCGCTTCAATTTCGCGCTTGGCTATGTCAGCTGTTAATGCCGCTTCATGTGCTGGAAAGATTCATATGAAGGTTTGTGTAAGCAGATGGTTTTTGCGTACTTCACACTTTTTCTCAGTGCCAGCGACCTCCGCCCGTTGCTGCTGGTGTAGCTGCTGGTGCAGCTGCTGCAGCTGTAGCTGCTGCTGCTGTAGCTGCTGCTGCTGCTGCTTCTGCAACGACTGCAATAGGCGTTTGAATTCTTCGGAATGTCTCCGGGACTCTTGGGCAAGGGAGTGCAGTTCGTGCCAGGCGGGAATTTCCTGCAGCAGCGAGAAGGGTTCCTTGCAGGAACTCCCATAATGTAGTGTGCAGAATGAAGGAGCAGTTGCAGGCCCAATATGGAGCCACCGTGCAGGACAAGTACTTGCTACAATAGCAACAGCAAGATAAGGATCCAACTCAATCGAAGCGACCAAATCCCGAAAGTTGCAGTTAACCATTCAAAATTGCTGCAGCAGAGTAGATTCAACGATCAACAAAAAGATTAGAAAGGGGGCTGCACTTGTGTGGATAACAGTTGTAACAATATCACTGAAATGTGGGACCTGTCGAACCAGTAATATCGTAGGAAGGATAAGCACAACCCTACAACGATTATAATAGCAGTAGTGCACCTATCTTAATTAGTATCACGATCAAACAAGAAATTCAAGCAGAAACGACCATCCGTAATAGAGCGAAACAAGAATATGATTAAAGCTTTTCATACTAACCCGTTGTTGCTGCTGCAGTTTGGCCTCTGCCTGCCTTTGCTCATCTTGCAATCTTCTGCGCCATTCGTCATTTGCAGCCTGCAGGCGAGCTGACCAGTGGTCTCTCTCCGCCTGCAAGGCCTGCTGCAGCTGCAACTGCTGCTGCTCGTGCTGTTGTTGCTGCTCGAGCTGCTGTTGCTGCAACACACAACCACGTGCCTGACCCAAGAGACGCACGTCCTCTTCATATCGCGCTAGGGTCCTGCAGCAGCAACCGCAGCAGCAAACAACGGACGGCCATCTCTGTTCCTCAGCCATGAAAAAGCCACTGTTTATCCCGATCCAGCTGTCGGGATTTAACTATCAACAGCTGCAGTGACTGCTGCATCTGCTTCAGAATGCCGGTGGTGCATCGGATACAGCGACTGTAGCTACGGTAGAAGCAGCAGTTGCTGCAGCTCTTGATAGACCAGCCTTTGCGATGTCCGTAGAGCTGGGTGTATGTGGCCCACTGGTCTACGGTAGTTTGAAGAGTTCGGTTCTTGATTAGAAGCTTTTGTTTCTCAGACTCCCATGCAGCTCGTGCTGCTGCGGAGTCTGCCTCGTGCTGCGCTTGCTGTGCTGCTGCTTCGCACTGCATGCGCCGCTTCAGCAGAAGCAACTCGTGTCGCAGTTGCTGCGCCTCTGCTCTGTATCCACAGCAGTAGACCAGGAGACCAAACTGTAGCACCAAAGGGAACTGCAGTGACCAGGGGTAGTGTATGAAAACAGCGACAGTAGCAGCACCAACAGCTGCAGAAGCAGAAGTCGCTGTGCCATTTGCAGCATTAGCAGTAGGGGGAGGAGCACTACAAAAAGCAACATATACACCAGAGGCAGCAACACCAGAAAGGCGTAGGAAGAAGCAAGACGACACGGGTATGTGCTTAAAACTCTTCGAGAGGCGAATCTGCTGAGCTAAGCCCTCCCAGCATTTCATGCCGTAAAAATTAGTTTAACATGTTTAGGGTTTATGGCTTGATGCATGTAATTTTAGTTATTGGGTTACTCGAGCTGCGCATTCCGCAAATTCGCTTCCGCCAGACTCTGCACAGATAAACAGAAAAATGATATGGCCACGTAGGACAAGCCCACTGAAGCCTAGTTGTGTATGATGAAACATCGACTACTATGGTCTAATGTTAGGTTCATGGGCAAGCTAATACCAAATAAAATAGTTCGGTAGAGGAAGTGGAAATGTGTACTATAACGGCACGTTCTTAGTGGTGCGGATTGAATCGCAGACGCGTTCAAAATGAACGCGTCTGCGATTCAATCCGCACCACTAAGAACGTGCCGTTGTAGCACCAGTAACCACAATCGATTGCTCAAGTACATGCACACACTAACATCTGTGACCATAATATAAACAGAAGATGTTTCATTGTTTCAATATAAGCCGACGGTAGGTTACTGTTGAAGCATACACAGCCCGTTTGCTGTTCCAAAATGAAATGTGTGTATATTGCTGCATGAGTATGAACAACTACTAGGGCAGTGAGTGAATATTAGCGTCACGGGGTTGACCGCTTCGACCTTAGAACAAATATGCACTTGCCTTAGCAACGGCAGCAAACAGGATACTGCTTTCGAGTGAGTAACTGCAATAAGCCAGCACACAAGGCACCGCCTTGAAAAGAAAGCAAACTGCTGTTTCAGCTAAGCGCACAAGCACACTGCCTTCTCCACACGTACAGAAATATTAGTAGACAAGAAACCACTGTTTTCGTGTATCATACGACTTAGAGATATAGCACAATCTCGACAAACTTTCCATCCATAAGCTTCTCGCATAACTTCCACAAACAGTTGGGCTACTAAACCACCTCACTGTTGCATCTGCAGAAGTATGGGTCTCTTTGGAGGTGCCTGAAGGCCCCTCAGGAGCTCCCGAAGGTACTGAGGGTGCTCCCGCTGAGGAGGACGGGCCAACAGCAACGGCAGCAGCTTGTGACGCGGAGCTGCCAGACGGGGTCTCTGAAAGCCCCACCCGCTTCAAGCCCAATAAACTGTCAACGTCCCATGGGGATCCTGCAGACTGTACGCAACACCCGAGAACAACAAAAGGATTCTTGACGCTTTTTTCTAACCTAATGGACTTGCTGTTGCTGCCGCTAACTCTTCTTTCCGTCCAGTTGTCAGTGGGGCTTCGGTTGTTGATTGCGCTGCTGTTTATGGCCGTGTCGCTGCTGCATTTGCTGTCAGGGGGCTTGTTGTTTCAGCTATTGCTTCCCAGTATGTTGCTGCTCGCTATTATGATGGTGCAGCTGCCGTTTCCAGTTCTCGTGAGCAAAGTGAAAAGCCTTAATGAGTTCTTCGGTGCCGTTGTCTTACTGCTTCTACTGTGTGCAGCTCGAGAGCCGCCTCAGCCTCTATGCCTTCCATCGCACAAGCCCCAGACCTTAAGCGCTATTGCCCATACCATAGACCCAATGCCCCAAGCCCTACTGTCGAGACCTAGCAGGAAGTTTGAATAAGCATATTGGCAGCTCTAGCATGGGTACTTTATATTAAAACTTGTTCACTCTTTCCAGCTTCCGTTTGTATAGAAACTTCAGTGCACTTGGGGAGGAAATTTGCCAAAATCCTCCCCCTTGAGTATGCATGCAGCTGTTGTTCTCCGAACCCCGTTTGTTGTATGCAACAACAGCGCTGTTCTGCAGTTCGTGCTTCAGTGAATGCGTAGCTATGGAACAACCGCTTATATCAGGTTTCTGTGTGTATCAAGTGCCACACCAAAGAGCTCTCTTGCCTGTGCCGCTCATTCCAGAATTAACTCCCGAGACCGCATAGGGTTGCTGAACTGAACCGTGAGCAGGAAATCCAGAACAATGCTTGGCACATGTCCCGCTGCTGCTACCGCTGGCGGAGTGTGGGCTCCTTTCGGCTGTGGGTGTTGGGCTGCTCACACGAGGCAACATAAATGAGCTACCTTTTATCGTCCAGCACGTGCAGCCTAAGTAGTTGGTTCCATGGCATTTTCCGTTTTTAATTCAGGACACTACCACAACTGGAGTCAATAGACAGATAAGTATCAACAGCAACATCAGCACAGCAACAGCAACAACAAAAACAATTGCACTCACTTCTGCGGGGTGCTGTCCTTGGACAAACTTTGCAGCAGCTCTTCCACCGAAAACTGCAGTGCAAAGGCACACTGGAAATCCAAGCTCCAGACTTGCGCAAGCTGTTGTTAATGCAGTTCCGTTTGCTCCTGTTATTGTTTTATTTGTTGCTCTTCGTGCTTCTGCTGCAGGTCCTCGTGTTAGCGCTGCTGCAGGTCCTCGTGCTGGCTTGCTGCATGTGGTGTTGTTGGCACTCTTGCTGTGTATCTACTTGTCGTAGTACTGTTACTGCTTGCCCAGCTGCGGGCACTCTTGCTGGGGCTGCTACAGCTGTTGATGCTGCGGGTTTCTTTTCTCTGCCACCCTGCGCAGCTGTTATAACTGCTCATGAGTTGCGCTATTCGACCTTGGGGTTGTATTCAGGGGCCTCACTTCCGCATGGCCCTTTGATACACCTTTGGAGTTTTCTATCGATCCGGAAACAAGCGACAGGGAAGACACACACATTTTAAAAAATAAACATCAATGCAGTAAAAGCGGATATACATAAAAGACAGGAAACAAAGAAGTCCTTACAGAGAGAAAGCTGAGTAACGATGTAAAAACAAACAACAACCTTAAACACGACGAGATAACTCTGTCTATGTTCCATACAGCATATGGCATCAAAATATTAAGCTGCTGCTGCTGCTGCCACGTCCTCAGAGTCTTGCATTCGCACCGGCAATAGCAGCAGCAGTAGAGGCACCAAGGCAAGCGGAAAGTTCGTAACAACGTTCGCGAGAGTTCCACCAGAAGCAGCAACAGCAGCAACGTCCGCACCATGAGCGATAGCATGAGGAATTGCAGCAGCCACAGTAGAACAGCAACAGCAACTGTATCAAGCGCACCAACGACACCCACAGCAACCACAGCCGCCTACCAGTGCTGTTGTTTGCTTTGGACCATTTTTTTTCTTGTTGGTGGCTGTTAGTTTCCCAGAATGCCTCCTGCGCACACCTCGGATGTTTGACGGTTTGATTGTGTTTCTTTTTGTCTAGACTGTTTCATTTCGTTCCTTTTGTGTTCTTCATTCTGCTTCACTTTGCTGGGAAGCCCTTGCTTCTATATTTTGCAGCTGGCTAACCGATGCTGGCACTATGTTTTGAAACCTAGGGAGGACTAAATGTGCAGGGAAAGTATGCACACTTTTCGGTCGCCGACTCCGTTGAGGAGGTTTCTAAACCCTCGAGCCTCCTTGGAGAGACTAGGGGACCCAGGGGGTCCCAGGTCAGACGAATTCATTGCTACAGCTTTTTACACCTGTTGAAGCTTTCTGCTGCTGGAGTGGCGCTTCTCACAGTTCGAGACGCTGTTCTGGCCACGCTATCCCACTATCGCCTGCAGGCTACAATATCAAAGCCTAGGAAGAGCTCCCATGCCTTGAAACTGCAGATTATTCTTGGTTTCTAGAGGAAGAATTTCGTAGACTGCTGTAACTGGAATTTAGATGCAGTAACAGGTAACTGCTGTGCTGCCCCCCGCTGTCGGCTGTTTGAATGTCTGCACATCGTAGCGATTTTTACGGAACCATATAGAACCTATATTTACTCACATCCTTTAAATACTACTACGAATGCATTCAGTGTTTGCATTTAGATCCCTCTGAAGTCTCCATTGCCGGTGAGTCTGCTGTCTCGCCTTTTGGCCGGAACGGGGCTGCTGCTGCGACTGCTGCGGTAGTAGCAGCATTGATGTTGCAGTGGTGTGCAAGGGAATGGCGCGTGTCGACCACGATCCCATGAACTTAAAAAGCTGAAACGGGGCAAAATATATTAGATGTGTGAGTAAAGAAGATAAATTTCAGTATACTTCGACCACCAAAGCTATGAAAAAATAGCAAACCTATACCGCAGTCTCCTGCGGACCTCTCGACGGGCCAGGCCTCGAAGGCCGCCGAACTGCTGCAAGGTATGTAGAATCTGGGAGCACTACAGGATTTTTGTTCGCCCTTCCAATCTTCCGCAACCTTTTCCATTTATATCGCGAAATTTATGCTTTCCCTCTTGTTTGCGGGAGTTGTTGCCCTGCCCCCAAGACGCCACCGACGTCCAGCTGACCGGTGCACCGACGCGGCGGAATCCGTTACACGCTGAGGCTTCCTCCGCATGCTTTGATGTTTAGGGTTTGCAGCCTATTTTCTATGGTTTGGGATTCGGTGTCTATGAGTTAATGTTAAAGCTTCATGGTTCCCGTGATGCTACAACGCCCTGCCCTGCTGCGGCAAGTTCAGGGGGACCCTGGTGCAGCCGCAGAAGCAAAACCAAGCCCTAATGCTCCCGCCTGTATTCCCCCTAAGCTGGCTCACCCAGTGCTTGGTTACTCGTGTGGCAATAAGCCCCAGGCAGCTTTTTCGTCCCCCCAAGAGGGGCGCCCAACCGGGGGCTCCATTGATGCACGTGTTTCCCAACGGTCAGACCTACGCAATCCGCTCTACTTCACCCAGAAGCAGATATACCAACAACACCTGCAGCAGCAGCATCTACAACCAAAGAAGCAGCTGTTGTTCCAGCGGCTGGGCTTCGATGCCATGCTTTCTCGCTTCAAAAATATCACCCCTTGCAGTGCAGCAGAATCTGCAGCCCTCAGCCGATCTTGCAGCAGAATTTACTGTCTTGTACCACCGAAAACAGCAATAAATCTACCTGAGCGGCAGCCTCTATGTCTGGCTAGACCATCTTCTCCCCTACCAGCAAAAGTGCCTGCACTGTTGGACGCGCAGCAGCCCCAGTGCACCACCTCAGAAGCAGAAGCAGCAGCACCACCAGCGGCAGCAACTGAAGCATTAAAGCCAGCTTCTGGCGATATTCAGGTAATGTTACAGCATCACGCTGCCTCCCTATGTGCCTCGCAGCAGCGGCGGCAAGTGGAGAACAGGTGGGCAGCTCCCTTGCACCAGCAGCAGCAGCAGCAACAGCTGAACCAGCTTTTGCAGGGAGGTCCAGAGCATCAGGATCTGCAGCTAATACAAATGCAGCGCCAATTTCAGCAGCAGCAGCAACTGCACCTGCATGTGGAGGAAGAGCTGCCCCAGCCGGAGGTGCAGCTGCAAAAACTGCACCAGCAGTTCCAGCAGCAGCATCACCTCCAGGATTTGAAAATGCAACAGAAGCAGCAACATCAGCAACTAGAACTGGAGCGGCAGAAGTTACATTTGCTGCAGGGCATGCGACCCCAGCAGCAGCAGCAGCCCCTACAGAAGGTGGAACTGCAAAAGCAGCTACAGCAGCGGGAGCAGACGCTGAAAATGCGGCAACAACACGAGTTAATACTGCACGGGCAGAGGCATTTGTTTCAGAACAGAGGCCATGTGGAGACTTGCTTAAATACTCCACAGGCACAACAACCGCAAGAACTGCAGGAAGAGCTTCAGCCGGATCTGCAGCACGGATCTCAACAGGAGCTTCTCCAGCAGCCGCAGCACGAGCAGGATCGACAACAGGCCATGAAGCAGCAACAAAAGCAGGTAGATCAAAACGAAGAATACCTGCATCAGCAGCAACAGCAAAATCAGGCCGCGAGCGAAGATGCCACAGAACAACAGCGGCTAGCCGCAGAGCTGCAGCTCGTTGAGCAGCAGCTAGCTGACAAGGAGGCCCTTCTGGCCCTGTTTGAGGGAGCCTCGGAGCAGCAGCAGCAGCTACAGAGAGCTTTGCAGCTGCAGCAGCTGCAACAGCAGAATCAGCAGCTGCAGCGGCAGCAACTGCAGAACCAGCAGCTGCTCCAGCTCATTGAGCAGCAGAAGCAGGAGCTAGCCAAGCAGCAGCAGCAAGTGGGCGAACAACAGCGAGAGGTAGAGAAGGGTCTGCTGCTGTTGCAACAGCAGCAGGAAACCCTGAACGCGCAGCAGCAACAACAGCAGGCAGCGGCTGAGGCGCAGCAGAAGCAGCAGCAGTGGCTTGAAGAGCAACAAGAAGCCGTTCAGAAAGCGCAAGACGAGCTCGCTGTTGGCAGGATGGTGCAGCAGAAGCAGCAACAGCAACTCTCTGAGCTGCGCGAGCAGCTTCAGAGACAGGAAGCAGATCTCGCGGAGAAGCGGGAGAGGCATCGGCAACAGCAGCAGCAGCTGCTGCAGCAGCAAGCAGACATGCAAGCCTCTCTTAGGGCCCAAGGAGTGCAGCTGCTGCATCAGCATCAGGCACTCCAGCGGCAGTTGCAGCAGCAGCGAGAGTTGCAGCAACAAATCCTGGACTATCAGCGGCAGCAACTCGTAGATACGCAGGATGCTTTGCAGCAGCAACAGCAGCAGCAACCGCAGCACCACCTATTTGACAGCACGAGCCTACGTCGCCGTGTTACGAGGGAGGCGGGAATAGAGCCCATGTTGCAGCAGGTGCAGCAGCAGCTGCTGCTGCAGCAACGGCAGCAGCAGCAGTTACAGGAAGAACTGCTCCAGCACCTGAAGCAGCAGCAGAGTGCGGAAGAAACCGACCACAAGGCACGCTGGTGCCGCTGCGACACACGAAACCCGCTACCCTCCTGTAGGGGTCCTGACTCCATGGCGGCCCCCCTTGAGGACCAAAGAGATTCAGCAGGGTCTACACGCCTGCCATCAGCTGAGAGCATCGGGAAATTAGGAGGCCTTGTTGAACCTGGCAGCAGCTCAAGAGATACCCAAAGGGGCCCCCCAAGGAACCATCCAAAGAGCTCGCTCAGGTGGTCCAACAGAGGCCCTTTAGAGTGCCCCCCATCAGCACCCTCGAAAAGCCACTTCGACCAGACCCTAATTGCGGGTCTTTCCCAGGAGGGACCCTCAACTGGGACTATTCAGGGTAGAAATGGGAGGGCCCTCGGGGTTGAACCCTGGGGCTCTTCTTTGGGGGCTCCCCTGGGCCCCCAGGGGAGAAAGGGGGTGTCCACATGCCCACCCCGGCTGCTGCGTTCAACAGAATCACAGCGGCTGCGGGAAGTGTCTCTGCAGAAGCATATAAAGGCTCTGAATGAGGTGAAAAGGTCAGGGGCTCCCCGGGAAGGGCTCAAGAGAGGACCCACGGAACATTCCCGCCTCCCCTCAGCAGAATCAGAACACTCCGACTTGTCTACAACTCGCAGCAAGAGCAACTCTTGGAGAGCCCACCACCACCTTGCAACCAGAGGGACCGCCTACCATGGGGGCGCGAGAATAGCAGTCCAGGGAGAGTCCCACAATGCCCCACCACCAGGAGCCCCGGTAAACCCACAGGGGACACGGCAGCAGCAGCAACAGCTGCAGCAGCTGCTTCAGGAGCAACGAAGGGAAATAAACCTGCTGCTTCTTGAGAAGCAGCAGCTCGAAAGAGCTGCCACATCAGGGGGGGGAACCATAGGGGGCCCTTTAACACCCCGGGGCCCGATGAGACCCCGCGCTTTCCCCAAGGAACCATACGTCCAAGGTTCAGCCAACTGCGCAGAGGCAGATGGTACGTCCCTCCTTGTTAACGGTGATTATATATATATTTGCTCTCAGCATGTCCGCCCTTTTATACCCCTATTTGCTGCTTTCCATTCGTATGACAAGCTCTTACTGTCTCGCGTGTCTTGTTCGCATGTCTGCGCTGCTGGTGATGTCCATACCTGTGTTTCAGGGGGACCCCGAGGCTGCGTGTGCGGAGGCGACCATCCCCGGACTGCTTGGGGCCCACTAGACGCTGCTTTGGCTGAAGTGCACAACAGCCATGAGGGCCTCCAGCGATGGACAAAAGTCAATGAAGGCGTATACTTCTATGGAGACACTCAAGTGGGTGAACTACGGCCTTTATTAATCCAGAAGCGCTCCAGAAGTCTTCGCCTCTGGGCTTTCCTTCATCTGTATTCCTCCAATACATCCATCATAATCACAGTCCTTTTTAGGCAGTGGTTACCTTTCGCTGTGTCTTTGTTTCTGTCCATGCATTTACCTCCGTCTCTATCATTGACTTACATGTACCCCTGCCTATTTCTTCGTGCCTGCCATTCTCGCTGTCTTTCTCTTCTATGTTATTTCTCTCTTTGTCTCTGTTGGACTCGCGTCGGTATTTGCCATTGGACTTGTGCATGTCACAATTTGTCCGTGAATTCTCCTCAGCCCCACTTGCCCTCTGTGTGTGCCTTACTTACGACCTCCTTGTGTTCACATATTCACATTGACGTCTGTTTAGTTCATTCACACCGACGCACTTATACGTGCATACTCACACTGTGTAAATATCCACTTTATATGTTGGTGTGCTATAAAACTCCTTTCGAAACCCTTTTTTCTACTGCTCGTATGCTCCTTCTGCTGTTACATGGCTGGTTGTATTGGTGCTGCTGCTATTTGCATGCATTTGCTGCTTCTGCTTGCATTTATTTGCTGCTGCAGGTGTCTCTAAGCTTTATAAATGGCCGTCTTATGGCACAGACAGATGGTGGACCGCTAAGTTGGAACAAGGGGGCCCGAGGAGATATCCTCAAATTCATCCGTGCTGCAGATGAAAGAAGGGCCCAAGCCAACGGCTAGCCTCGCCCGGTTAAAGCAGCTTTATCAGCAAGAGCTGCAGTAAGAGCAGCACCGGAGACAGGACAAGCAGAACGGCAACCCGTTTTGCAGCAATAGCGATAGCAGCAGCAGCTATGGCTGCAGGCGCTGCGGTTGTAGGTCCATAAACGGTAGCCTTGTCACATGCATGCACAAAGGGGCTTGCAAGTGACTGCTCAACCCCCAACCCGTAAGCACCCACCCGTAAGCACCCTCTACGGTTTTGGGTTTCCGTAAAGCTCTGCGCAAGCTTATGGTCATGAACATACGTAACAACATGCCTCAAACACTCACCGAAGGGAGGCCCTTCAACTGACCATAAACGGCCCCAAGGCTGCAAATCCTCTGAGCACTTGCTAACAACCTCCTTGGCGGCCTTTCAAGGGTTCGCAGTGAAACCGCAGAAGACTTCCTTACGGTACCTTAGGGGGGCCCCTCCAATGTAGGGGTTAAGAGATATAATAGCTAGCCTCTGCTCTATTCGGCCAAAGGTCTGCTGCAGTAGTGACGCATATGTGCCTGCGAGCTGCTGTAGCAGCAGCACGTCCGCCTCAAGCAGGTGCTGGACTGCAGAAGCAACCTGCAGTAGCGGTGCAAGCTCCTCAATGCGAACAACTGTAGATGAAGCAACTACCCCCGCGGATGTGGGAAGATTTTCGATGCTATGCCGGCTCCATGCCTGCTGTTGTTGCTGTTCACTACTTCCGTCTGAAGCATCTGAAGCCTCTCCACCCGACAGAAGACTAGTCAGCGCTTGCCCATGGGCAGCACCAGGCCCAGCAACCGCAGCATTTGCTGCTTCGGGCCGCAAATGCGTATGTGAGAGGTGCAGCATCAACGTGGCTTTTACCTGCGTGCAAACACGATTCAAAAGCCTGCCACAAATGGGCCCCATGCGCAGTGCTACGGTTCGAGATGTGCTGCTCCCAGCAGCGGCAGCTGCTGCTTCCGGTGTAGTGACACCTGCTGCTGCAGCATCAGCAACAGCTGCAATGGCCCGCAGCACGCAGTCTAGCAGACAATCTGCTGCAAGTCCCACAACCTCCGCGTACGCCTGCAGCAACAACAGAAGCCAAAACGCCAGTGTCAAGCAACACAAAAATCACTGCTGCTCTATTTGTCTCTGAGATGCTGCTGCAGCACCGCTTGGTCCACAAGTAACATTTTTTGTTTAGGTTATTGTGATTTACTACATCTATGGGTTTCTCGAACTGTTTGATATTTAGGGTTTAGAACGCACCTGCAAAGGCAATATAGGCAGTAGATCGAGGGCTGCGCTGTGTAGGCGCTTCGTGAGGTCCCCAGCAGCCGCTTCCAAATGAATCTCCACGCTGCTACTGCTGCTGTTGCCAGCGGCTGTAAGGGTTTGGCTGAGCTCCTTTGCTGCTTGCTGGAGTCCTTGCTGCAGGACCGAAACCAAGCAAACATATGATTCCTCTTGCTGCCGCTTCAGCGCAACAACAATTTCCGTGAGCTGTTGGCGGAAAGGCGCCGTGCCCTGGTGCTGCTCATTCTGCCCTGCTACTGCACCTAGTGATGTAGCAGCAGGAGCAGCCCGAGAGTCAAAGAGGAGCAATGCGTCTCCCCACACCGTGAAGGCGCGTCGTGCTGCAGCACTGGGACAAGTGCAGCACCTGCTCCTGCTTCCGCTGCTGCATGAGCAGTTCTCGTAGGAGCCTGTGCTGGCAGCGGTAGCAGCAGCGGAAAGTAGCACGGGTAATCTCATCATCCAGCGCGATAGGACTTCAATGTCTGTCCATCGTAAGGCGAGGGCCCTCATGTGCTGCTGCCCTGCAGCAACAAATGCAGCAACAGCCTCAATCGGCGAATCCGCAGTTGACGCCGCAGCAGCACTTGCTGCTGTAGCTGACATTGCTGCTTGGGGCACCAATGAAGGCCCCAAAGGTCGCAGAAGCAAAAACAAATCCGCTATCGATATGATGGCAGCAACTTCTGCACGGAGTGATATGCGGCTACCGCAGCAGCTACTGCTGAAGCAGCAACAACGGGATAACTCCCGCCTGTTGCTGCACCAACAGGGCACTGCACTGACGCCGCAGCCCCCGACGGTGCTGCTGCTGCTGCAGGTGCAGGTGGCAGCAGCAGCTGCTGCTGCCCGCAACAACGACTGCAACAACTGAAGCAAAAGCCACGTCTGGCGCGTAATCCGCAGTGGCGCGAGCTGCACCAAAGATACATCTGCTTCCTCAGCAATGCACTGAGGCAGCAGTAAACGGTGAAACTTCTGCTGTTGCGGGTGTTGCTCCTGCTGAGCGGAGAGACCTTGCGGCAGCAACAGATCGCCCAAGCCGCCGTGTACAACTTCCTCTGTAGCTAGTACCACCTCCTGTTCAGAAGCAGCAACGGGAGAAGCCTCTGCTGCTGCTATCTGCTGCAGCAGCTGTCGTGCGGTCCCCAGCAACTCAATCTGACGCCGCCTGTCCTCCTCGCTCAGCCAATGCAAGACCAGCCGAGTAGCCTCACTCCACTGCTGCTGCGGCAGTAGCAGCACCTCCTCCTGCTGCAACAAGCCCTGCTGCAGGAGGAACAGGTCAGTTTGCACAATGCCAGCAGCAGTTGCTGCAGCTGCAAGAAATGCCACAGCACTTGTCACCGCTGCTGTCGTTGTCGCTACTTCTGGTTTGATCTGGAGCCAAGGCTTCTTGGCAGGCTGCTGGAGCAACACCTGTTGCAGCGGTTGCTGCAGTTGCTGCTGCAGCAAAGGACCCCAAGTCCGGAGACAGGTGTGATGGCCGTCTCCTATGTACCGCAGCAGGAACTGCAGCAACGACTGCACAACCAGCAGCATACCCTGCGGGGTTATAGCAGCAGCAGCAGCTGCTGCTATATCTGTTCGTGCTGCACCTCCTGCTGCTGCGGGGCCCTCCTTTCGACCTGCTGTCCAGCCCCAGCTTGCCTCGGCGGACCCCCCACCCCTGTCTGCAGTACTTTTCTCTGAGACAAATATGAGCTGCTCGTTGTTGTTACTACTGCTGCTAGCAACAGCAGCAACAGCGAACAGCGGCTGCAGGGTGGTGGTGCTGATGCTCTGCGTTAGGGTGTACAGACGGCGGCGCAGTTGCCCGAGGCAATCAAATGCCTCCCACACATCTCTCAGCCGCAAGCAACCATGTTCTGCTATTCCTGGTTTACTGGCACCTGAGTTTCCTACTTTTCCTTCCGCCGTTTCTGGTACTCCTGTAAGCACTTCTGAAGCTGGAGTTTCGTACCATGTAGTCATTGCGGGTACTGCAACGTCCCCGTAGCCGTTATGCGCTTCTTTCGTGTTGCTGCTTATGCTGAAACAAGCGCTGGTCCCGCTTTTGTCCTTGTAGCTGAGAGGGGTCACAACAATTTTCTGTGGGAAGACCTTCAGGTGCTGCTGCAGTTGCAAATCAAGGGCATCTACGAGGTGCCTGTACACCTTAGCAAACTGCTGATGGAGCTCCGCTACAACAGCAGGCTGCTGCCTTCCTCGTGCTGAAGTCATCAGCGGCAGCAGCTGCTTCAAGGCACACCGCCGCAGGGCCGCCGCAGCAGCAGCATGTTCCTGCTTCCGCACCAGCTCCCTGCAAGAAGCCAGCTCCTGCTGCACCGCCTGAATCTGTAGCAGACACGCCTCAACTTCCTGGGCACAACGCAACTGCTCCCGTAGCAGCATTCGCTGCTGTTCCCGTTGCTGAAGTCGTACAGCCAGGGGCTTCTTTGTGAGGCATGCTCCCAAGAGGTCCTCTTGCAGCTGCTGCACATGCCGGCATACCTGCCTCGACTGGTGCTGCTGCTGTTGTAGTGAGAGCTGCATATCCCGCAGCCGCTCCTCTCCTCGGTGTAGCAGCAGCATTACCTTGTTTTTGGCCTCCCTTTCTGCCCCCCACACATCCTGCAGCAGTTGTTCCAGCTGCTGCAACGAAACTGTAGCCGGCAGCGGCTCAGCTGCCGTTGCTGCTGCCATTGTTACTGCTCCTGACTGCGGAGACACACCAGCAACAGCAGTTCCGAAATCTGCAACAACTGCCTGCATTCTGCTGTTGCTGCACCGTCAGCCGCTGATGCGGCGGTAGTTGCCACTGGGGCTGTAGTGCACGAGCACTACGATGTGGCTCAGGTGTGACCTCTAGTGGCTTTATGATTGTAAAGAGAATAAATATTAAATATTTTGGGGATTCGGACATTATTAGCTAGGTAAAGGAATTAATACTACTAAATGTTCTAGGGAATTGGATGCCACTGGATAGGGTCATAGGTTAGTAGGGTTAGTGAGCCAGTTGTCCACGCCTGCCGTTTAGTGCAGTGTTTAGTCATTACTTTGGGTAGCAGATAGGACTTCTAGAGATTTAATAAGTGGAAAAGAAATAAAAACTATCATGTCAGTGAATATGGCATTTTTATGTAGATAGCAGCTTTATAGGTCTGGCACCTGACTATTGTCCATGCCTAAATATTGCCCCGCTATTTTATAGGTCGGCACTGATCCCCCCAGCAGTGAAGAGTTCTGATTAATCTTGTCAGTCCCTTCCATTATTCTGGGAACTTCCCTTGTTTATAATAGTGACTCTAACATGATTTGGAATTTTAAGTATTGACTTATGGGAATTTGGATAGTTAGAGGATGTAGTTGGGAAGCCAGTCACAGCGAGGCGATAAGGAGGCGCAGCTTAGAACGGCTGCGCACTACTTTTGGGGGCTGTTCCGGGAATTGAATATAAACTTTTGACCCAGTGTCCTCATTTTCCAAATGTTGACCTTACTCGCTCCTCCATTGTATACAGGAATGGCTAGTGCGAATCAGCCGACAGTGGCCGGACGGTGTAAACCGGGGGTTGTGCCGTTGCATGAGGAAGGGTCCAAACAAAGCAAAGGCTAAAGGCCTAACAGCAGACGAGAACTTTGCTCAGGATGGGCACAATAGTGAGTTACAGTGGTGGCGAGAGGACGGAGCTGACTCCCGTGTTAGAGGAATTTTGTCTGGTACGGGAACTATTGCTATATTGAGGGTCAATGTGGCAGGATGTGAATGCGAGGCGCTACTAGATTCAGGGGCATCAAGGGGTTCTATGAATCCAAGGACTGTGGAACGCCTACAGCTAAGAGTACGACGGCTGGGAGAGGAGTGCATCTTCACAGTGGCTAACGGTGTGCGGTTACGGATTGATCGAGTGGTAAAGGGATTAACAATGTGGTGTGGGGATGTGCGACTATGAGATTTTTTTGGTAGGGCCTGTACCATACGATTTAGTAATGGGACTTGATTGGTTGACGGAACATAAGGTGGAACGTCGAGAGGGACGGTGGACCAAAAAGAGCAGCAATAGCAGTAACAGCAATACATCGGTATTTTGGGTCCCTATTTAAGCTGTTCCTTACTTACCTTATCCTATCCTCAAGCGTCCTGGGCTGTGGTTTGGCGGCCAGCCGTTGAGGAGGGTCGAGTTGAAGCAGCACCTGTTGGACGAGCAGCAGCTGCAAGAATGTTGTTGCAGCAACCAATTCACACTGGCAACATAAGTCTAGAGAGTTGGCAGCTCTTACTGAACCACGGAACTTCCGCAGGCTAGCGGCCATCGTTCCAGGTAGGACGCTCCTGCTGTGGCTACTGTCTGTATAGCTGCGGTAGCTGTTGCTGCTCCTGCTGTATTTGCCTCAGACGTAACAGCAGAAACAACGGGAAGAGGAAGGAGCTGCTTCGGGCGGCAGCAGCTGCAGCCTTTGATACAGTGCTGAAGTATGCGTGCAAATGCCCCTCCACTAAAGGTCACCCCACTCCTCGTGGCGCTCTTTCCTGCTAATTGGGAATTTGCAGGACTTCATTAGCACTGAGTACCTGAACTGCCTGCGCATGTTCAGCGTCACCTGCCTTTGCTATAGGGCAGGGCAGTAGCGCTTGAGTGTTCCGTGTTCATGGTGCTTGTTCGCAAGTCCGTAGCAAGTCTCCTTTGCATCCCCTCATAACTTTTGAAGGATCCTGGTTAGCCGCAAGGGCAGGCATTTCAGCCTTAGGCCCGGGGATATATTTGTGTTGCGTGGGGGTCTTTAGGCGCCGGTGCGGCATACCGCCCTAGAGGACGCCTTCACCAGCCCTAGCAGCAGCACCATTTCAGCAGTGCCTGTGGGCCCCCCCATGAGGCCTGACCGGCCTCTTCTTGAGTGTTTTCTACTTGACTTGAAGCCTTCAAAGTGGAGAAATGGGCGGCGGGGGTTTGGCGCTTAGAGTTTGCACTCTAGGGATCACGGTTCAGGTTATGCGGTGTACCGCATAGTGTTCCGGATCTTGAATGTTCAAGAGAGCCATGGGAAGAGTGCGTGCTGTTACTCTGCATCTGAAGAGTTTATGGGTCATTGGGGTGAAGCTGGAAACCGTTAGACACATTTGATATCTACAGCACCATGTTGCTGTATCCAAACACGTTTTGTGGCTTTGCAGCGGGCAGCAGCAGGTGGAAAGAGGGTGTGGGGAACTTGCGGTCGCAACGAGACAACAGAAGGTGGTGCTGCTAATGAGAATGGTATCATTACGGCTGCTGCACTTTCTTCTCAGTTGACTACGGCAAGTGTACTGCAGTCGCCAGGAGTGTATCTAAATTTGAGGCTGTTGAGAATGAGCAAAAAATCTGTCACGCTTAGATGGGGGGGACTGCATTTTTTGAAGTACGTGCACAAGTTATCCAGGTCTTGCTTGCCTGGAAGCCTGAGCTCGTACGGGTTGTTGAACCGAATACCCGGTAGACATGACTCGTTACGACTCTTTCCGTCTGGTGCAATAGGAGAGAAGGAAACCGCCAAAGAGCGCACGCACTTACTGGGTATATAATGGGCACATCTCGGGGTATGACTTGTCCTACGGAGTCAAAGATTGTCGGTGGAACCAGATTATTAGTGCACTTGAAACCGGCAAGTGATCACACGGAACGCAGACGCCTAAGCCCCTGTGCAGTGCAGCTGAGTAGCTCCTATGCAGGTTTGGTACCAACTGCAAGACGACTGGGCTCATGCGGGCACAGGCACTGTGCTGCACAGATACTTTCTTCAGAATTTTGCTGGCATCATTTGTAATTTAATATTCTGTCGCGCATATGGCGTACCTATTAAGTCGGCCTAGTGAATACCATCGAAAAAAGCGTTCGAAGCAAAATGACCCTCTGAACCTCCTAAAGTTGCAACGCCGTCAATCTGCATATCTGCGTGCACACCTCCTTGTCTGCAATGCGGCAGCATGAAACGTACCCGCAACCACAACCGCATCAAGTGAGAAGATTTGTTTCGGCCAGGGTTGGCGTGTTAGTAGCTATTTGGCCTGCATAGCAGTTCCCATCTTCCCATATCCGAAATCGGAGAATATAACTCCAGCACGTGAACTATGAGACCGTCTATCAGGTAACCCTTTGAACGGGTGAGGTGTTTCGAGTGACATTCAGCGTCTTGGGTAGCCCGAAGGAATATTAGTGCCACATTCCCAGGTTGCACCTTCTCCGCACACAAACAGCTAAAGTCGCAAGCCAAACCAAAACTCCATGCGCTACAGGCTGCGCATTTGCTTCCTTAAGTGCCAGGCGTATGAGCACAACGTCTGTTTGGCATACCGTCATCTGCGTCCCACCCTTCGCCATTCCTTTCACAACACAACCTTCATACACAGCCGAGCTATGCTCCGACCTTACCACACAAGCTTCGTATATCCCAGCGGGCAGCATGAAACGTAGCACTATCTGTGGCAACGCTGTCCAGACTAGCAATCATTTAGCTGCGTACATCCTGAGGAGACCACCGCACGCTTGTACAGCGAGAGAAAACTTCTCGACATAGGGCTCGTACACGCGCTCACAGAAACTACACAACCACACGCTCCTCCCACAAACAGAGCAGCCCGCTGTCCTCCCCGCGTACAGTTCTATCAGCAGCTGGCACTTATTTTGGCCGTGGCAAGAAAAAGACACACGCTTATAAAGCCAACTGGACACCGACCAAACCATGCTGAGGTTTCAACTACTCAGAGCCCTCAACTAAGGTTGTCAAACAATACACGACCGCTACGAGGTCCACTTTCCTGTGCGTTGCGCATGGCTACACATTTCGCTAATGTTTCTGCATTATTTTGAGTTAATGCCAACCAAACGTACACAACGCATGTTGGCCTTTTGGTCAGGCGAGCGTCTGCGTCTATTCCCGGTCTCCTGACACAGCCAGGATATTCTCCAGTGCTGTCTAACTCGATATAAATCGCAACGTAGTCGCTGGAGTCTCTTACAATGTATTGTTATGCCCATGGATATTGCTTCATTTCACCAACATCACTTGCAATTCCAGAACCTGTCTCGCATATATACGTTGAGCGTATCGAAACAGCCTGCCCCACTAATGGCCCAACAAGAACACCGCGTAAGAAAGTGCAGGCTCTGCGTCTTCTCCAAATGCAGTTCCACACGTTAGTGCGCCTGCAGATATTCATGCGGGACACCAGAGGGCCCGCAAAGTGGCACACACCATAAGGACGCCAAGAAAATGAATTTGCTTTGGGCGCTTCAGTTTCCCTAAAACTGGCCGAGCAGCTAAGCGCATGCACTGTATTATGTGCGTACCTTCTGGGGGCAGCAATGCGCTGCTGTTACGCCAGGTTAAGATTCACCACTCGCTCCCGGTGTCGCGCCAACTCAACCCGCATGTGCAGATGCTCTCCGCTAAGAACTGCGTTTATATATATATATATATATATATATATATATATATATA